AGTGTTCTTCTATTGTTCATAAGATTTTCAAAAGTCTGTTCTTTGAGGATGTTCAGTCCTGCTTCCTAGTCTGTCTTTGTCTTGGAACTTCCCTGTCCACCATTGGTGACTTTGCTGGTATGTAAAATACTGGTGGTATAGCTTCTAGCCTCACAGCCACTTGCAAGTCACTCCAGTACAGCAAACTGACAGACAAATGCTATACTCAAAAGAGTAAATGATACCTCCTTAACTAACAAAGGCATTTAAATGAAGCTTTGTCCCACATACTTAGGGCATGTTGCTAGGAGAAGCTATTCTTTGGTGAAGGACATCATGTTTGGAAAGGTAAAGGGATGGCCAAGGAAAGGCAGACCCTCAACCAGGTGGATTGACAGTGACTGCAGCAAGGGGCTCAAGTATGTCAGATGTGATAAAGGATAGGACAGGGTTCAGATCTGTTGTTCATAGGGTCGCTATGAGTTGTACTCGACTTGATGGCACCTAACAGCAACACTCATTTAAGTACTGCTATTAAAACTAAACTTCGATTTCCTGGCTCTCGTGGGCTGCTGCCTCCAGCACCGCCTCTGGTCCGCTGAGTATCTTCTCCGCCATGCCTGGAGGTCTGCTTCTTGGGGACAAGGCCCCCAGCTTTGAGGCCGAAACCACCGTTGGCCGCATCTGTCTCCACAAGTATCTTGCAAATTCATGGGGCATTCTTTTCTCTCACCCTCGAGATTTTTATCCCAGTTTGCACCATGGAGCTTGGCAGAGCTGCAAAGCCAGCACCAGAATTTGCCAAGAGGAATGCGAAGTTGATTGCCCTTTCAATAGACAGTGTTGAAGACCATCTTGCCTGGAGTAAGGATATCAATGCCTACCAATTGCGAGGAGCCCACTGAAAAATTACCTTTTCCCATCCCTGGTGACAAGAATTGGGACCTTGCCATCGTCTTGGGCATGTTGGACCCAGCAGAGAAGGATGAAAGGGGCAGGCTGGTGACAGTTTGTGTGGTGTTTATTTTTGGTTCTGACGAGAAACTGAAGCTGTCTATCCTCTACCCAGCTACCACTGGAAGGAATTTTGATGAGATTCTCAGAGTAGTTATCTCTCTCCAGCTGACAGCAGAAAAGAAGGTTGCTAACCCAGTCGATTAGAAGGATGGAAATAGTGTGATGGTCCTTCCAACCATTCCTGAAGAGGAAGCCAAAAAACTTTTCGCTAAAGTAGTCTTCACGAATGAGCTCCCATTTGGCAAGAAATACCTCCGCTACACTCCCCAGCCTTGAGTCTGTGTGGTGCTGGAGCGGCTCACTTAGCGGAGTGTGCCAGGGGGCGCCAGCTGCCAATCATGTGTTCCTACAGCAATTCCAGAAAAACGTCCTAGTGTGGTCATAGCTAAGGTCTTTAGGTGCCTCTACTACTTACTGCTTATTAAATGAAAACGACACTCAACATTTCTTAGGATTCTTTACTCTGTGCATTTTCCTGTTGCATTCAAGTATCAGAACACTGTACCTATACTGGACTCGTACCTCATTGGATCTCTACAGGGTTTGTGATCAATTGTTCACTGTCAGTTCATGGTAGATAAGTCTGCCTTCACTTCATGATAGAATGACTGTCAAGTTTTTTAGCTAATTTTATCAAAAACCTCTCCTCCATTATCCATTTTGGGGGGCAAGAGTGAGGTTCAACTTCCTCTGTAAATATCTTAAGTATATATCCCAAAATTTGAGTAACCTGAATATTCTTCAATATTTATCATTTTTACTCTCAAAAATCCATTGCCATTAAGTCAGAACCAACTCATAGCTGACCCTCCAGGAAGAGATTGCCCACCTTTCTCTCTTGGAGCCGATGGTGGATTTGAAACACGAGAGAGGCACTACCTTTGGGTTAGCAGTGCAGCTCTCTACAGACTGTGCCACCAGAGTGCCACTACCTGCAGAGCTGGAAGACTATATTTTCAACCCTGTGCTTTTCCAGTACAGCCTGGAAGGGAAGAGCAAAGTAAATATTTTTGTTATAATAAATTTTTTGTGATAAATTCTGTCAAAGTTGGGAGGCTACAGAAAGGACTCCCCTTGTATGCTGAGGAGGTTTGAGCAGTATGACGAGTGCCACATGCGTTTCACACAGTATTTCTGTACGTTAAAAGCACCTTCTGGGAAAGAGGAAGAGATGGAAGATGTTCACTCTAGAACTCTCTTGCAGTGGATGACTATTTTCTGAGTTTTGCTTTTTAGGGGTCAGCAAGACTTAAAAGTGGGGGGGGGGAAACCCCAAAAAACCCCTTAAACTTCAAACACTTTGAAAAAAACAGAAAAGGAAACACTTCCCAACTTATTCTGTAACTATTGCCCTAATAAAAATATCAAAGATAAGGCCAGAAAACAACCCAATATGCCTAATATAAGTAGCTGTAAAAACCCTCAACAAAATACTAGAAATCCTAACCCATCAACATTTACACACTTATACACCATGACTATGTGGATTACTGAAATGCAAAGTTGGCTCAACATGGACAAACAAATTTGATTAGTAGAAATTTAGTGTATGAATAAAATGATTTTTGTGTAAGGATAATAGGATAAGACAGTGTTCAGATGAGTTGTTAATAGGATTGCTATGAGTCAGAGACACTGAACAAAAATAAATGGATCCACATCCAGTGGGTTTAACTAGAACTCTTCCGAGCAGCCACTAGGAGAACAACAAAAATTTTAATGGTCAGAGCCCAAAGGATGTTTAGTATAAAGCTTGAATTGATTTTGCCCTTCAATTTCTTGGCTACTACCTTAGTTACTATCTTAATTTTCTTGTGCACAAATATTAAAAGTAGAGAACTTGGTATGCTGGGGCTAGCAAGTGATGTCATTTTAAAACCTGTTTTCAAGAGTACCTACTACTAGTGATCTGGCTCACCTCCTTGAAGTTCTAGTAAGGACTAATGTTAAATCAATGAAGTAGATTAAAATATCCACATTTTCTTCCTTCTTGATCTCAATCCACATGAAAACACAGGCATGCAGCCCTTGAGATTTTTCTGGCACTTTATTTTTATAAACTTACTAAGAAAACAGGTTCTGGTGCTTTCAGGTTTTATATCTCTAGCACAAGTGGTATCATCCTTCCTCTTACTTGTGACATCTTCATTTCCAGGACAGAAAGTACACATTGCCATGTGCATCTCCCACAGCAAGTTGCAGGGTCGAATCAGGACCCAGCCGAGGTTCCAGGCAGCTCACGGCCCCTTCACAGCGGAACAGGCCCAGCTAAAGGGGGAACAAAATGGAGCAAAGTTGAGGGCTACCGACCTAAAGCCTCTCTGCAAGTTTGTTTTTCTCTTACATTAACGCCTTCTATTTAGAAACTGGTTACTAGAGCATCCTTGCAGGAAGAAACCACGATGCCTTTCCCCCATTTGCTTTCTTCTGACATCCCTCTGGTATGCACTTACCAGCTGCATACTAGGTCTTTCCCATAGCTTAACATCTCTGTCCTTTGAAGCTGTTACCAGTAACTCAGGTAGCACGTGGAGGGCTGTGACAGAGCCGGAGTGGATCTTAGAGAAAAGGGAGAGAAGTATGAGTTTTCAGTGGGCATGCCCAGTTGAGGAAGCACCACAGTCCCTGTGTCAGATGAAGAGCCCCATCCTCCAAACTCACCCTTTCCTCAACCTTACCTTTCTTCGCTGACGTGTCCTTAGATGTTGGCATGTTGGCCATATACATGAGTCTGTTTCTGTCTCTGAATTTTGGGTGTCAGAGTTTAGCCACATGTTACCCGTGGTCCATTCTCCTTCAGGGGTGCATCTGGCCATATTCCATAGCATCCCATCAGAACTGGCACACAAAAATGAGGATTCTGCCATCCCAAGAACAGAACTGAAGTCAGGCTAGGTCTCAGGTCTAGATGCATCTACCATTCTCCCAGGGGTCACCCTCTGGTTTCTTGAGTCCTCCCATCAACACTTACCAGATTCAGGTTTGGCCTGAGTTATCCAGAGTAGGCCTCCATTAGGATTTTCTAGGTCTAGACTAAACTCTAAGGTATATTCAACCTCTCCTGATTCATTTTGCCTCTGTGAAAGGGTAGACAATGTTGTTTAGTTTACACATCACTAAGCGCTGCTCAGACAGAGCACATTTTCTACTTTGCCTGATCAGCATTATTTTCATTCCCTTCCATTCTTTTTTCCTGAGGTACAAGTTAAAATAAAATGTACAATTCATCATTGTACATCTCACTGAATCACATATAATCTATGCAATCACCTCCCTGATCAACGTGTAGAACATTTCCATTATCCTAGAAGTTCTCCTCATGCCCCATCCAGTCACTTCCCTAAAGCTGAATACTGTTCTAACTTCCATCACCACACACTAGTTTTGCCGCTCTTAAACTTCATTTGAATGGAGTCATAGAGGGTGTACTCTTTGTTTCTCATTTCTTTCACCCAACATAAAGTCTTGGAGCTATGTGTATATTATTCCATTCATCTTTCTGCAGCCTCACATCTGTTCTCTGAGGTCAGCATGAGACGCAGTGAGTTTGCTTTTCTGTTTTGGAGAATGTATGCACTCCTCACAAGTGTGTAAGAATGGAATTGCTAGGTAAAGGGTAGACTCCAGCAACTTACTTTCACAGATAGGCAAGTCAAGGCTGATAACTGTTTTAACAAAAAGGCAACTTTCCAGTTGCAGGTGTCATCAAATAAATTCTGACACATGGTGGCCATGTCTGTGTTAAAGGAGAACTCTGTGGGTTTTCAATGGCTGATTTTTCAAAAGTACATAGCCAGACCTTTCTTCCAAGATGCCTTTGGGTATACTCAAACCTCCAACCTTTCAGTGGTTAACAGCTAACATCTGAGCCTAGGTTTTCTCTCTCATTACTGTTGAGTCTGAATCAACTCATAGTTGACTCTCTACTGGGTTTCTGAGGCTGTAAATCATAAGGGAATAGATTTCTCATCTTTCCCCCGAAGAACTGTTCGTGGATTTGAACAGCTAGAGAAGAGCAAATTTTAGGTTAGCAGAAAGTGCTCCTAAGAACCTATATTTCATGTGATTAAACAGCTTTCAAAGGATCTCTGTTGATGTGTTGTGCTTCTTATCAAAAGGCCAAGTGTCTTCACTGGTTCGAAGCCACTAAGAGCAGGAAAAAGATGGAGTATATTTCTGTTAAGATTTACAGTCTTGGAAACCCAATGGGGAGTCATAGTGGGCTAGACTAGACTCAATGCAGTGGGTTTGGAGGGTATTTTTGAGGCATCTTTGGCCACATTCAAATCAATAAATGTTACCCATGTACAAGATAAAGGATTAGTAAGATGACAGATAAGATGCACTTATTTTGCCAATATTCACAGTAGCAAAGAAAGTTAATTAAAATATAATAATGAAAATTAAGAGTTTCTAGGTATATAGTTTCCCATACTCTTTCTTAAAAACACTTGAATCCTTTATTTGTGCCAACCAAGTCTTACAGGGAACCCTTGACATAGAAAGCTCTTGAAGTTGTACAATTTCAGTAGAAGAATAAGAAGATAATTTGGACCAAATGTCTTTCCCTATCCATTTTCCATGGTGAGCCCCAAAGTTTAAAATCATTGGTCCTAGGCAAATGATTGTTTTAAAACACACACAAACAAGACTTACTAAGAAAAAAAGAGTTTGAGGGGCCATTGACTGCAGGACAAACACACCATACTCCTTATGGGTGGACAATATTGTAAAACCATCTTCTGAATAGTGGCTCCTGGTTCATAAAGGAAAAAAAGAAGCTGAGCCCAGGAATATCTGTCTATAAGACTCCAATGTTTTATTCCCAGTTAGACCCAATGTCAAGGTAACCCATCTCTAGTCCATTTTCTTCTCTTTTTCCAACTTGGGAGGAAGCAGCTTTTTGGATCTCACCAGATTACAGAGGGGTCAATCCATGGCACCATGTGCAGCAATTCCAAACCTGGTTTGGCCAGGATGAGGGAGCCATCAGGGGCCAGGCCCAGACCTGTCAGGACTCCCACATCTTCCTGAAGAACTCGATCCAGGTACAGGCTATGGCACAAGGAAATGGGCAGAGAAAGCCTGTTTAGTCTGCCTCTGTGACTCCTCAGTTCCCCTTTTTCTTCAGAAGTGATATATGAAACAGAGTATATTACCTTTTCTACAGATCCTTACATTCCATTTTTATTAAAAAATATCATTGTTTATCATTACCATTCTCTCATTTGCTCAAACTAGGAATCTCTAACATTCTTGACTTTTCCATCACTCTTTCTCTTCAACAAGACCTATGAATTCTACCTACAAACTCTGCCTACATCTTTACTTTTCCTTGCCATCCCCAACTCCAAGTCACGTCAGGCACGTGTTTCTTGGACTCTAACAACAGCTGTCAAAGTGGCGTCACTACCTTTTGTACCTCTCTACTACTACCTATCCTCCATAATGCCACCAATTCTCTTTCTAAAATTCAGATCATTATTCTGTTCAAAATTTGATCAGAACAAACTCCAAAGTTCTCAGCACTGTGCTCTCTACAGCCTGGCTCCAGATAATCTCAATTTCACCCTAATCCTAGCATGCCCCCAACCACTTAGATATTCCCAGAATTCATCACACACTTTTCATTGCCTCTGTGCCTTTTTTTAGCCATTCTCTTTTCCTGAAACACTGCCGTCCCTGCCCCCTACTGGTCCTGAGAAATCCTATTCATTCTTTAAGCACAACTTCAAATGTCATCTCTTTTCTACAAGTTCTCAACTTCTGCAGTCCCAGGAATTGTATATATAGCTTCATGACTGCATCAATCAAGGAGAGTATGATGCCAGTTTACAGAATATATGCACATTCTTCTACTGTAACCTTCGTTAGTTAAGGAATAAATTTCATTTGTCCTTGGTTCAGTGCCTAGACTAGTTGTTGTTGTTAGGTGCTGTCAAATGAAATATGACTCACAGCTATCCTATTAACAACAGGGTTCAGACCCTGTCCTATCCTGTGCCATCCTCATCTTCTCTGAAACACTTGAGCACATTGCTGATGGCACCCTGGCAATCCATCTTGTTGAAGGTTTTCCCTTCTTTCACTGACCCTCCGTCTTTCCAAGCATGATGTCCCTTCCCCAGAAATAGCCTTTCCTAGCATATGCCCAAGGACTGTGAGATGAAGCTTCGCTATCCTTGCTTCCAAGGAGCAGTCTGGCTGCTCTTTTCCCAAGACACAGCTGTTTGTTCCTTTGAAAGTCCGTAAGACATTTAGTACTCTTCTCAGCTTAAAGACATCAATTCTGTCATCCTTATTCATTGTCCAGCTCTCAGGCATGCAAAGTGTTGTTATATGCTGTTGAATTAGAATTGACTCGTAGCTAACCCTCCAGTGGGTTTCCAGAGGTAGCATGGGTAAGATGGGCAGCATGGGAGGAGATTGCCCATCTTTCTCTTATGGAGAAACTGGTGGATTTGAACAACGTGTCTAGAGGCATAGGAAGTGACTGAAAAGACTATATAGCCTGAATCAAGCATACCTTAGTTTTCAAACTAATAGCATTGTTCCTGGGCATAAAATAGGCACTTGATAAAATTCATTTAAATTGATATGGTGAGGATTAGAAAACAATATACTAACTAGTTGGTCCCCCGCCCCTTTCAAATATAAACATCCAATTCTCCTAGGTCAGAAGACGAGATAGAATGATTTGAGTAAAATCCTAGACATAAGAGGACCATTGTTCCTCCTAGGCCTTCCTTGTGGCCTTATTGTTAGGTGCTGTCAAGTTGACTGCAATTCATAGTAACCTTATGAACAATGGGCCTGAACCCTGTCCTACCCTGGGCCATCCTCACCATCGCCGACATACTTGAGCCCATTGTTACAGTTACCATGTCTGTTTGAGGGTCTTCTTCTCTTTCACTGACCCTCCACCTTTCCAAGCATGATGTCCTTTCCCGGTGTGGTAAGGATGGGCTGCCAACCCAAAGAACAGCTGTTCATATCTACCAACTCTACTGCAGAGGAGAGATGGGCAATCTTCTCCTACATGATTTAAGCCTCTCAAAACCGACTGGAAGGTCAGCTATGAGTTGGTTCTGACTTGATGGGATATAACAATGAAAACAATATTGTTCTTACTTTATTCTCCCAGCTGCCTCTACTCACTTGAAATTTTTAGACTGTGAACTTCTCTGAAATTCCACTTGCCATTCGCTGACTTTTTCATCAGCACACAGAACGAAGAAGGTTTGTTTTGAGTACCACACCAGGGCATTGACATAGCCTGGAGCCTAGCGGACACAATATGGGACACAATAAGGGACACAATAAGCTCTATGTACTCTTTCTAAAGAGTCAGCATTGACCCTCTTTCCCCTCCTCTCAGCCTTCGTATATATATCTAATCCTGACATGTACCATCAACTATAGTTGGGGCAGACTTTACACACAGCAAAGAACTGAGGCTTCCCAACTCACCTGTGCTGTGGCCACAGCCTTCGCTTCCTGCCACAGAGTCAGTTCCCCAGTTTGATTCCCAGACACCACCATGGAACCATCTGGGGCCCAGGCCATAGCGGTGATGGCTGCAGGAGTCTTGTGTATACGTGTGTGATCTGGAGCAGAAAAGGACTGCTTCATTAGAAGCTGAACCACCGCTGAGTTACAAGAGGAGATACCAGGCTATCTTTTGCACCTTATCCATCTCCACGCTCCACTCACCTGCTTCGTTAGGTACCTGCCAGAGCCATACAGAACCATCCTCTGAGGCTGTCAGCAGTAGGCCCGAGGTGTCTGACACAGCAGCTGCACTGACTGGCCCACTGTGTCCCAGGAAGGTGTGTGTTTGATATACCTATGAGGAAGGGAGGGAGATGAATCACAAGGGCTGGAGCAATAAGAGGCTGCTTCACATTCCCTCTCTCTCTCATTCCACCCCAGTGCTTGCAGGGAACTTACCAAGAGTGGATGCCATAGTCTTGTGGTCCCATCTAGCCCAACAGTTATCACCAACAGCTCTGACCCAGGCTGGTCAGCTGAGAAGACATAGCAGTGGAGTGAGAAGAAGGAAAGAAGCAGGAGGAAGGAAAACAGGTGGGCAGGGGTGTTGGTTGGGCACAAGCGGCTGGCTTTCCATTACCTGCGCGAGGCTCCAGTGTAGCCACACAGTGGCTGATGGGTCCTGAGTGAGCATGGATGCTTGTCAGCTCCACACCTTGATGGTTCCACACTTTCAAAATCCCATCCCGATCCACAGACACCACATGATCCTCCTGTGCCCAGAACACATATTCAGAGCAAGGTCACACCGAGCACGACATGGAAGCATGACTGTCACAACAGGTGTGGGTTATGCATTAGGGTTATAACCACATGTCAACCCAAGTTATGACTCCAAGTGTAACAGAGTTGAACAGAGCATAGGATATTCTTGGCTGTGATATTTATGGAGGGAGGTCACCAGATCTGTCTTCCAAAAGATCTTAGAGACTTAGAAGAAGCCAGAGTGTGAGGACAATTCAGCAGCAGTGGGGTTGGGGGGCTTGGAAGTGCAATCTTCGCACAGGGTCTTGATACTAGATGATATGTTTTTAAACTCTTATGCTTCCTTAGCGGGAACGATGGCGAGGCTTGACTTTACATACTTTGGGCATGCTGTTAGGAGGGGCTATTCCTCGGAAAGGGACATCAGGCTTGGAGAGGTAGAACGTCAACAAAGGAGAGGAAGATCCTCAACGAGATGGATCACTAAAGAGACTGCAGCAAGAGGCTCAAGTGTGCTAGAGACGATGACGACAGTGCAGGCGCAGGACAGGCTGCAGATCTGTTGTTCACAGGTTCGCTGTGAGTTATTTTCAACTTGACAACACTTAGCAGCAATAACATTCTTCCCCTCACACCTCAGTCTCAGTGCTTTAATCCGGCACCAATCGATTTCTAAGCTTCATGTTCTTTCTACTTCTTTTACCTTTAGGATTTGATACCCAATGCATCCAGTCTCCCAAAGCCCTCACAGCCCTCTTGGAGAGTGCCAGTGAGTTGTTCACTGTCTTCTTACCGCAGCTGCCACCACGCTCACAGCACTCTGATGGCCCAGGAAGTGACCAAGCTGCTGTCCTGACTCAGGGTCCCATAGCCCCACAGAGCCATCACTGGAACAGGAGATCTGAGAAGTTAAGAGGATAGAGGAGTGGGATTACTGGCATCCCTGCAGCATTTCTGTCCACTTGTAATGTGATTCAGGGCAAGGCCTCTCCAGGATTCAAAATCTAGCTCCATCATTCATTCCACTGTTATCTCTGGTTTCTCATTTATTCTAGGAGGTTATTGATAGTCGACCCATTATTGACAGTGGACCCATAGAGTTGTTATAAGTTGAGTGCACTTATATAAAGGGTTTTGCATACTAGCTGATAGAGAATAAAAAAATATAGTCCCACTGTTGTCAAATCAACTCGAACTTCAACTACAACTTCTGTAAGGTTTCCGAGGCTATAAATCTTTTCAGGAGGGGATTGGCCATCTTTCTCCCGTGGAGCAGTTGGTGGGTTTGAATCATTGACTTTTCATTATAGCAACATAACACATAAAGTGCTACAACACCAGAGCTCTTTGCTTAACACATGGTAAGTGTCTAGTGTAGTAATTGTTGTACTTGGCATAATGTCAGTCAAAAAACTCAGAAAAAGGAGAGAAGTCTATCAATACCAAAGAAAAATCTAGCTTTCTAGAAGTCAGGGGTAGGACAGATTATGACAAGTGAACAGATAGTTTCTTCTTCCATATGCCTTTTTGAGAACAGCAGGGAGCTTCCGCATGGGAAACTAGCCTTAGAAATCACAGCAGCAACCCTTTAGTTCCAGTGACAGTATTCCAAGGTCCTAGTGAGACAGTATTTATGTTCTTTATCTTCTAGGAAGAAGAGCATGGATCTTCTTATCAGAAAATATCCTGACTTAGCTGTCACACTTTAATGACCTTAGGTATGTTCTTTAACATAAATTATTTCAATTTCCTTTTCAAGGAATGGAGATACTAAATAGCCTCCACTATGGTAAGCTCTGGTGGCCTAGAGGTAAGAAGCTGCACTGCAATCCCAAAGGCATGCGGTTCAAATCCACTGGCTGTTCCATGGAAGAAGGATGGGCAATCTCTTCCCATTTGATTAACTGCTTCTGAAAACCTGCTGAAGGGTCAACTAAGGGTCAGTTCCAACCCGATGATAAACAACAACAATAGTCTCCACAGGGTTGGTAAGTGAGATACCTGTGCCAAGAGCCCCGTGTGATGTCTGCTCTGAGAGCTTTCAACAAATGTTGACAGTTACTGACTCAAGCCATGGTCTTTTCAATCACTTGTGCAGCTGAGAGCTGGACAATGAATTAGGAAGACAGAAGGAGTGATGCCTTTGAGTTGTGATGTTGGGGGGAAAGTGCTGAATATTCTCCGAATTGCCAAAAGAATAAAAAAGTACATTCTCAAAGAACTGTAACCAGGGTGCTCCTTAGAGGCAAGGATGGTGAAACTTTGTCTCACATACTTCGGGCATGAGGTTAGAATACATTCCTTAGGAAGGGACATCGTGCTTGGAAAGGTGGAGGGTCACTGAAAGACAGGAAGACCCTCAGTGAGATGGATTGACACAGTGACTGCAGCAACGGGGTCAAGTGTGTCAGAGCTGATGAGGAAGGCACAAGATAAGGCAGGGCTCAGATCTGTTGTTCAGAGAGTCACTAAGAGCCATACCAAAAATCAATGGCACATAACAACATTACTAAGGAGCTCAGGTAGTACACTCTGCTGAACAAAGGTCAGCAGTTCAAATCACCAGCTTCTCCATGGGAGAACCAAGGGCAGTGTCCTCCAGAAAAAACATACGACCTTGGAAACCTGATGGAAGTTTGCCAAGAGTCACAATCACCTTGACAATGGAAGGTTTGATTTTTGTTGGTATTCCTGTTAATGTGTGTTAGGACAAAACTCTGTAGATATAGGAGATGGTGAGTGTTCCTCTCCAGGAGCCCTGCTGAGCTGGACCTCACCCCAACCCCTTCACTTACCAGCAGGCTATCTTTGGTCCAGGCACAGCCAGTGACCCAGTCACGGTGACAGGCAGAGAAGGAGCGAATCAGAATTGGGGTACTGGGCGTCCTCACATCCCAGCATAGGAGATTCTGAATAGGTCCAAGGAGAGGAAGTGGTCAAGGCCATGGAGGTAGATGGGAACATCAGAACTATTTCAGGCAGCAAAGTTCAAGGAAAAAGGAATGTGGAGGGAAGGAAGGTGGAGAGGTCCAGCATCGGAGGCGTAGATGGCAAAGAGCAGGAGTCATGGGGACCTGGACCTGAAGAGGCTGTAGAGTCCAGGGAGGTGGGGGATCCAGAGGAAGAAGGACTCAGAGCTGTATCCTGCAGTGGCTCACCCGATCCCTGCCTCCAGTAGCCAGACGGGTTCCATCAGTGCTGAAGCTACAGCAGTTCACAGGGCCTTCGTGTCCTCGAAGCTCAGTGCCACAAGGAAATGCTTCTGCCTTTTGTGAGAGGGTCAGGAACTTCCTGGGCCACAGCCGCACTGTGAAATCCTCTGTATTAGAAATAAAGAGGGAGGAAGGCTCCCTGAAAGACGAAGCAAGATAGGCCTGGGAGGCCAAAGGCAATAGTAATTGTGAGAACTGAGGACAATGTCTGTGGGTACAGCTTCAAGGAAGGGAAAAGGCTGGGGAGAGGTCAGGGCAAAGGTCTGTCATCATGTAAGAATGCAGGACAGGAACCCAGACACTTCTGGCTCCTGTTCCCTGTCTCCAACTACCCACTGCACTTCCCAGGGCAGCTATTCCAGACCCCTCCCTTTTAAAGTGCTTATGGTCTCTTCCACCTCACTATCAGTGAGGACCAAGCCTAGAGAGGACTAAGGCCTTTCTGAACTTTACCTCACATCTTGCTCTCTCCCTCATGCTAAGTGACATAACAAAGTCCTCCCAATAGGCAGGAATCCAAAAGATTATTGGGATTAGAAAGTGGTCATTAGGAAAGGGGCAGTAAAAGGAGAAGAAATAAAGTCTAGACTGACTATCTGAGATACTTATAAAAGACTGGAAAGTGTTTTTTTTAAAAAAAATTGTATACGCGTATATATATATGTGTGTGTGTATAGATGTTTGCATACATATATACATACACACATACACTGTAAGTATATATGCAAACAAGGAGCCCTGGGAGTATATAACAGGTAAGTGCTTAACTGCTAACCCAAAGGTGGACAGTTCAAACCACAAGCCACTCTGTGGGAGAAAGCTGTGATGGTCTGCTTTCTTAAAGATTACAGTTTCTGAAAACCTACAGAGGTGTTCTATGCTGTGTTTGCCGTGGTTTTGGTTTTACATACATATGCATGTAAAGTCATACAGCAAACTCAAAACTCACTGCCATCAAGTCAGAACCCACTCATAGCTGACCTCTAGCAGGCTTTTACAGGCTGTGAATTGCATGGGAGGAGATTGCTCATCTTTCTCCTGTGGAGCAGCTGGTGGGTTTGAACCACCAGAGAAGCACCAACTAAGGGTTAGCAGTGTAGCTCCCTATGGATTACGCCACTAGAGCTCCACATAGGCATTGAAGGTATTAGGATATTTACATAGAACAATAATTTATCAACCCAACAGTACCTGAGGCAGAAGCCAGGAGTTCTTGGGAGACAGCTAATCCTAGCACAGGCTTCTGGTATTTGGACAGGAGCCACAGGGGCTGAAGGCAGCTTTTCTTCAAAGCCCAGCCCTGTAGGGACCCATCTTCTGCACCACTCACTAAAACCTCAGAGCTGAGCCAGGCCAGGGCAGACACTGCCACATGTAGTGCTTGACAAAGAGTCTTCTGGGAGTCTAGGAAATGAGTGAAAATAAGGTACAGTGAGACATTTGGAAGTGGCGTGGGGATTAGAGGATGCCCTCTTCCCAAAGGCTCACATACCCCATACCTTCTCCATCCAGTACCTGGAGAGATTGCGTAGATCCTAATGCCATCTGCTCGGTACCCAACAGCCACCCATTTACCATCTGGACTGAGTGCCACTGTAAGGGCAGGAGAGAGAGGAGAACCCAGGCACCCACCGGGTCGACCCAGAGACCCTGACCACACCTGGACCTGAGGACCAAGAAAAGGACTTGAAGATACCCTATATTTGCCCCTTAATTCTTCACCCCCCAAGTTCCACTTCCCTTGAGAAAGTCCTTCCAGAGACTCGTCTTAAGAGATCTGCCCATATACACACCTACACATAGTTCCACCAGTCTTCTCAGCAGAGAACAACCCTCGCCCAACACCTCTGTGACTCCTTCCTTATGACCTATCACCTGACCTTGCCATCCTCTCCAGCCGTCAGTAACTGGCTCCCAGCACGAAGGAAGAGGGCACTAGTAACAGAGCCCTGGTGGGCAGGGAAGGCTGCCAGCCGCGCTCCCTCTTGCCAGGCCCACAGCTCCACCATCTTGTTCAGTCGGCCAACAGCCACAACCCGCCCAGATACATTGAAGCTCAAGGTCCGGACGGAGGTTCCTGGGTCCCCTAGCTCCTATGCAAGGAATTAGAAATTGGAATGTCAGGGTCTGCTCTTACCACAACCCCAAGGTGACATAGAGTGATGTCTATCATTCTCTGCCTCCTGGGCTTCCTCCCCTAATACAGGACATTTTTACCTTGGTGACTTTGAGCCCATCCACCTGGAAGAAGCTGAAGCCAGCCCAGCTGCCTGTGGCTATCACCTGCCCCTCAGGGTGGAAGGCAACGCAGTTGAGGGCCTTCGGACAGGTGTGCTGCGAGGCCAACTGCCCACAGACTGTGTCCCACAGCTGGAAAAGACAAGAGAGGAGTCAGAAAACAGAATACAGACCCCTGAGCTCCAGGGGTCACCTTGTCCAGTCCCCTGCCCTCAGCATGTACAGTCTCCTCAGGCCAGACTGTCAGCAGCCTCTGCCACAGGGAGAAGCTCCTTGCAGGCTGACTCACTGTAGAGCCACTTAAGCCATCACTAGCGTTAGACATTACCTTTAAGCATCCTCCCATGCACACAGTGGCCAGCAGTCGGCGGTCTGGACTTAGGCAACAGCTGGTGATTTGGTGCTGGTGAGCCTTGGTCTGGAGAATTCTGTCCAAGGTGGTCAAAGTCAGGCCACAGTTGTCCCCTGATCTTCTCACCTACCTCTCCTGGCTTCTAACAAATAGGGAAGGTCTTCACTTTAAGGCATGGAGGAGGGACCCCCTTACCGACAACCATGCTGCAGGTCCCAGAGCTCCAGGAGTCCATCAAAGGAAGTAAGAAAGATGGATGTGTCGGAGAGGAACAAGCAAGAAGAGATCCCATCACAGCCACTCACCAAAGACTTCTCCTCCTGTGAGCAAGTGAGGAAGCTCAGTGCAGGCATTTTCAGGCACCAAAAATAGAGAAGGGGTTAAAGCAAGAAAGACTTGAGCCTCTGATTATCTACATCCCAGGCCATGACAGGTTCAGGTGGGACCACTTCGTCTTTCCAGCTCTGAGCCCAATTACAGAGAGATTCCAGAAATCTACCTCAAAAAAAAAAACAAAAAACCAAAAAACCCCCCCCCCCCCAAAACAGCCACAACCTTGCCAGCATTTGTTCCTTGATGTTCTGTTAAATTTTGCTATTCTGACTGGGTGAGATGACATCTCATAGTTGTTTTGATTTGCATCTCTCTTAGAGCTAGGGCTTTTGAACATTTCTTCATGTGCTTGTTAGCCCTCTGAATGTCTTCTTTGGTGAAGTGTCTGTTCATAATATCCTGTGCCCATTTTTCAATTGGATTATTTACCTTTATCTTGTTGTGGTGCTCAAGTATTTTATAAATTCTAGATATAAGTCCCTTATCTGATATGTCACTACCAAATCCTTTTTCCCAGTCTATGGCTTCCTTTTTTACCCTGTTGGAGAAGTTTTTGGATGTGCATAGGGATTTGATTCTTAGAAGGTCCCATTCATCTATTTTATCTTCTCCTGGTTGGAGATTTTTCAGGATACTTGGAAGACTGTTTATGTTGTGGATTAGGACTACTAGAGTTCTTCCAAGCTTTTCTTTAATGAAGTTTATAGTCCTTGGTTTTAGTCCTATCCATGATCCACCTTGAGTTGGTTTTTGTGTATGGAGTGAGGTGTGGGTCTTGCTTGAGTCTTTTGCAGATATTTTTCCAATTTTGCCAACACCATTTGTTAAAAAGCCTGTCGTTTCCCCACTTAACTGATTTCATCTCCTTGTCAAAAATCAGTTGACCATACGTAGATTGTTGGGTTTTCAATTCTATTCCATTGATCTATGTGTCTGTCATTGTACCAGTACCAAATTATTAAAATTTTTAAAAAAAGAAAAGCAAATGAGGGTGGGAAGGGGAGAGACTTCTTCATTATTACTAATAAGAGTAATAATGTAATACACTTTAAGAAGATTTTACAAAACAATTCTGCTACTAGTATGAATATAATCTAAGTAATGTTACATTTAAACAAGTTACAACTTAATGTATTGCCTGTTATTCTGTGGATAAAATTGAGAATTTGAAGGATTCTGTGTGGTCTGGAAAGGTATTCTGTATGGTCACGGAAGACGGGAGTGATATCATTAATTACTGCACTAGATGACATGGCTTCAAAACATCAGTAATGACAGTGAATAAGTTCAGAACAGAGAGTGATTATTCAATGTGGGCAGATTTTAGCTGAAAATGCATTGCTGTCTAGAAACTCCTCTCCCCAGACTTGTCAGGTGCTTGGGATAATATTGTTGCTAGGATAATAAAGCACATGTTCTTTGAAAATAAAAGGGGAAAAAACCAAGCCCAGCCACGGAGAAGCCTAGGGAGTGCAGTTCCACTGTGACACACCTGGGGGCGCTGCGGGACAGAATAAACCGCTCCAAAACTGGCTTGATTTTGTGTTTTTTGGAGGCTCGCTATCTCTCTCTCTCTTCACTTCCTAAATAACATGTCTCCGGAAACTCTATAATCTTTGATAAATGTCTATAGTTGTAGAGGGGCTTTAGGTCGTTTGATCATAGGGTTAATATGAGTCGTGCTTGACTCGAAGGCAATCAACA